ACTCTGGATGGATTTCAGATATTTGTGAGGCTGTCTTGGGAGAAGCATGATTTCTGGGACAGCGAACACCAGGATCCCCCTTACGATTTAAATAAAAAGTTAAAGGGCTAGAATGGGAGGATGTAGAGATAAGTCTCCCAGGGGGGTTTAGATCTCCATTCTTTGGTTGTAGAAAAACCAAGAGGGTTAGAGGGTGTGAAGGAACAGTTGGATTTCAAATGGATAGGGTGTATTTCCTGGGATACCAGATTTCAAGTAGACTATAAAGATAAACTATGATTTACAAAAAATGCTCAACTTCCTCCGCCTGTTCTGGGCTTTCTACACAGGATAGCTCAGTGAATCTTATTATTTCCCCATATTTTTAGGTAATTGGAGTAAACTTGTGTTTGGGAAGGTATTTATAGGAATTTTTGTTTATCCCAAAGATCTTGGTATGTTTTCTTAAGTATGAAAGGGCATGTGGGTGGGGTGGGGATGCAGCTAGAGGTTTGATCTCACTTCTTTATTTCATATTTTTTCTTTTTATTTGTTTCATATCTCACTTCTTGGCCTTGTTACCTTTGAAGTAGCTTGATGCTCAGACTTTGGGCTAATGGTTCAAGTTTAGGGGTGGCCACCCATCTTTTCATATGGGGAAGTGTGCAGAGTTCTCCTCTTAGGACGCCCAGTCACAAGGGCTTAGGGACAGCTCTTACATTTCCTGTAATCTCAGCATGTGAACAAGGCTTTCAAGTCACACTGTGCAACCTTCCTACCTTTCTTAATTGCTTGGGGTAAGATACAAGTGAGGCTGGGGTGGGGCATGGAGGACACAGAGAGAGAGGGCTGTGCATTCCTTCTCTGCCACCACCCTGTCCTCAGCACAGAAGCACCCAGCTGACTGTCCTTTCTTCTGGGCCCCAAGTCCTGGAGCAGAGCTGACAAAGGAGATTCTTGAGAAAGCGCCTTATTATTGCAGGAAGTGCTGAGCCAAGAGCTCCTAGCTGCCCCTTTTGCAGATGTGAAGGGCCAGTGAACCTTGGACCCAGACAATTGCTTAACACTCCTGTCCTCTCCCCTCACTCCCTCAGCCCTCTTGACTTCAATTCATAGGCATTTGTCTGGCATTCCCTTTCACTGCTGGCTGAAGAGGAGAAGCAGTTGGACCGCCCTTCCTGGAGGACAAGTATCTCCAACTGCTGCTGGCCACTGCCTTGGGAACCTGCTTATATCCAGGGCCAGGGAGTGAGTGTGTGTCCCACCCTCTCTCCTCATCCCCTCTCACCTTGCTAGTCCTCTCACCCCCAACCCCCCTTTGCTCCGCTGCAGTGTCCAATCACTTCTTCTCCTGAGTGCCTGTTGCCCTAGTATCTCTTCACTTGCTTGACTAGCCTCTCCTGTTTTCCTCTCAGCTGTCCCCTGCTCTGTATTTCCTGGCATCTGCTGCTGGGCTTCAGCTGTTTCCTTGCCTTGGCTTTGGGTGGTATCTCTCCAGCAGCTATTCCAGAATGGGGAGTGGTCTTCAGCTGCCTCCCATCATCTCTAGGTTCTGCTGTACATTTGGATCACCCTTCTCTAATTCATACTTTTTTGGGTGATGCAGCTATGCTGCCGTGAGGGGATTGATGGTAGGAGGCCTGAAATACTAGAAACTGGGAAAGGTATCTGGAAAGGAAAAGCCACAAAAAGAGAGGAATAACCTGTCTTCTTTCAGGGTGGGGTGGGACTGCTTGAGCTTTGCCGGGACTGAAGATTCCAGGTGAGAGCTGTTAAGGAATACTACCCAAAGCTCCTTGAGCAGGGGGATGGTTGTGGGTTTCCAGCAGATTTATTTTTTAAACTAATTAATTGATTTATATTTATTTATTTATTTTTAAAAGATGACTGGTAAGGGGATCTTTTTTTTTTAATTTTCTTTTTTTTTTTTTTAAATTTTGTCAATATACAATGTGGTTGATTATTATGACCCATCACTGAAACCTCCCTCCCTCCTCCCTCTTGGTAAGGGGATCTTTTTTTTTTAATTTTCTTTTTCTTTTTTTTAAATTTTGTCAATATACAATGTGGTTGATTATTATGACCCATCACTGAAACCTCCCTCCCTCCTCCCTCTTGGTAAGGGGATCTTTTTTTTTTAATTTTCTTTTTCTTTTTTTTAAATTTTGTCAATATACAATGTGGTTGATTATTATGACCCATCACTGAAACCTCCCTCCCTCCTCCCTCTTGGTAAGGGGATCTTAACCCTTGACTTGGTGTTGTCAGCACCATGCTCTCCCAAGTGAGCTAACTGGCCATCTCTATATAGGGATACAAACCTGTGGCCTTGGTGTTATCAGCACCACACTCTCCCAAGTGAGCCACGGGTCTTCCCTCAGCAGAAGATTTCCAAAGCCTTTAGGTTTACCAGAGCTAGAGTCTTTGGGGGAAGAAGCAGCAGTGTGAGAAGATCCCACAGATTAGTTGCTTGAAAGGTTGGTTCCTAATGTTGCATCTCAGCACAGGTGACAGGTGAAACTGAAATTGGAGGAAAGACAGACTTCTTTTGGGTAAGGCTGAACACTCAGGCTCAAACCACTATACCTGAGAGCTGCCAGACTATCTCCATGCCTGTCTTGTATCACAGCAAGCTCAGATAGAACAGGATTTAGTAGGTTAGGTGGGCAGCACTGTCCTAATGATGAGAAACAGATGCTTTCTCTTGGGGAATGAGTGCCTTCCCACAAAAGTTCAAATTGGGGTCGTTTTGATGAGGCAGGTAGAGAAGAAGAGGTTATATGGATGTGGGAATTAAGGGAGAGATCTCTAAAGTGGTGGGTGGGTGGGTGGGATGCCAATACTGGCCCCTGTGTGTGGGGGAGAGGGTTTTTATGTAATTGCTAGCCACCCAATGTGTATCATCCTCTTTCTTCCTTAGAGGGCAATGCCAGGAGGCTGGTGAAGGCTTTCCTCTCCTCCACCATGGTTGACAGCATTAAGTACGAAGTGGCCTCCCAGAATGAGGTGGATGCTTCCCCTTTGGGCAATGGGGCCAGTCCAGGATCTGAGCAAGTAAAGCTGAAGAAAGAGATCTCGCTGCTTAATGGCGTGTGCCTGATTGTGGGGAACATGATTGGCTCAGGCATCTTTGTCTCTCCCAAGGGCGTGCTTATGTACAGTGCCTCCTTTGGCCTCTCCCTGGTCATCTGGGCTGTTGGGGGTCTTTTCTCTGTCTTTGGTGCTCTTTGTTATGCGGAATTGGGCACCACCATTAAGAAATCTGGGGCCAGCTATGCCTACATCCTGGAGGCCTTTGGGGGACTCCTTGCCTTCATTCGACTCTGGACCTCCCTGCTGATCATTGAGCCTACCAGCCAGGCCATCATTGCCATCACCTTTGCCAACTACATGGTGCAGCCCTTCTTCCCAAGCTGCTTTGCTCCCTATGCTGCTGGCCGCCTGCTGGCTGCTGCCTGCATCTGTAAGTGGGGCTGGGGCAGGAGGTGGTGGGGTGGAGGCCTGGGCAGAGGCTGGGATTTGAGTCCAGTCAGGGAATAAGAATGGGATGGAAAAGAATGCTTCTGACAACAGCTATTTTTTTTGGTTATATTAATGTATGCTTTGTGTGAAAATTCAAACAGTACCACAGTGTTTAAAAACACACACAAAAAACAACAAAACCTCCCCAACTCACCTTTCCCCCAACTTCCCATGGTAAGCACCATTAGCAGTTTACATGTTCTTACTGATTTTTTTTTTTCTTACTCCTTCAAGAGATGTAGTTTTGTTCAGTCTTTTGCAAAAATGGGATCATACCATTCTACATATAATTCTACAGTGTGCTCCTCCCCGCAGGATTTGTAAGTGATATTCTTTTCTACTTACAGATCTACTTTTTTTTTTTTTCCTTCCTTTTTTTGTCTTTTTTCGTGACCGGCAACGGATCGCAACCCTCAGTGTTGCTCCCGTACCGGACCGGGACCGGCAACGGGATCGCAACCCTCGGTGTTGCTCCCGCACCTCGCTCAGCCAGTGAGCGGCTGGTCTGTATGTGGGATCCGAACCCTCGGCGGGAGTGCCGCCGCGCTTCCCAAGCGGCGCACTGTAGCAGTGCGCCACCGGGCCGGCCCTACAGATCTACTTTTTAAAAAATGTTTCATGTTATTCCATGTTAATTTTAAGGATGTATTACAGTTGATTTAACCAGTCCTCTGTTAATGACTATATATATTGGTTCCAATTTTCCAGCCTTACAAATAATGTTCCAGTGAATATCTTTTTGCACTTGGATGAGTATTTCTGTGGGCTAGATTCTTGAAACTGTCATTTCAATACACCTTGACTTTTTCTTTATCTCATAAATAAAACATTATTTAAATCTGTGCATTCAGCAAAGCCATATTAGAGGTGCTGAGAGGATGATCCTCTATAGCCCTATTTTTCAGGTGCCTTTGTTCTCGAAAAATACTCTTTCAGCCTGGGAGACCGTAGGACTTTGAAGACGCCGCCTCCCATTCCCCAACTATGAAGGGGCAGCTGCCCCAGCAGCAGCACCATGGGGTGCAGCAATTTTGCATCAGGTGCAATTGCTCACTGGATCACCTCTCTCCAGTCAGCCTTATGTAGGAACTTCAAAAAGTTTGTGGAAAAATAGAATTAAAAGATAATATGAATATTTCCTTGCCTTTTTGAAGTACCCTCATGTATCTTTTTTTCTTTCACTTTCTCTATCACCCCATTTACTCCCCAGCTTCCTCTCCAGCCTCCTTGTTTTTACTGTTGTGCAGAGTACTGACTGTCTTCTGTGGGGTCTTCCTGTGTTTTGTGTCCATATATATGGCTCAGACTCATCTGTGTGTGTGAGATGTTTGTGATGCATTGCAACAGTCAGGGAGGGGTGGAAGGCACTGCTTTGTCCTGCAAGAAGGGGTTTTCCTGAGGTCTTAAATATAATTTCTCTTGCATCACTTGCAGATGATCTGGTAGGTCGCTTACTGGTGAAACTAGTTTTAGGATCTGTTGATCTTGGGGCCCCCTCAAATGTGGGTATGTGGTTACATATCTTGTATACAGAAGGATCATTCTAAGTAATATTTCTGAGATAGCTGTATCTTTTTAAACACTAAAATTCTATTATTTTAACCATTTCTGTTGAAATCTCTTTAAAACTAATGATGTGTTTGCTTGCCTTCATAATTTGACATTTCTTTTGGTGACTCAGGGTTACCATCACACATCTCAGTTCTTGCATGACTGTGAGGCCACTGGGGTAGGGAAAAATGTTTGCTTCCTCAGTTGCCTCAGAATGCTGGCCTGACTTTAGTTCTTCAGGCTTTATCTTTTTATGGTTTCTATCTGTGTCATCTCTGATAGCTGCTGTTCCTTGATTCTGGCATTGTGCCTACCTCTATCAGTCACCCCTTTTTAATTTGCTTCTAATTTGGGAATAGAGTCATACTCAAACCCTTGTACGCCCACGTACACACACATATACCCTTATAACAATACATGCAAAGTAACTGTAGTTATGATTAGTCTGCAGAGCTCCCCAGTGAGTTAAAGGCATGGAGTTTTGTGCATGAATGTATGGCATATGTTTGATACAACTCTGGTACAGTGAGAACTGCTCCAGACCTCTGTTTGAAGCTGTGCTCAGTAGTCTTGTGACTTTTAGGCAAGGTGCAGTGAGTGTTTACTTCCAGGCTACTGTGAGAATGAAATGAGATTCAGTGAAAACCATAAATCATGACTCAAGTGTAAAGTATTTGTTATTATGTTTAAAATTACTATCTTTCTTGGCTGCTAATAGGCCTTTTCCTCCTCCTGCTTCTTGGCTTTCTCTTGAGTGGTTACAGTTAGATAAATGAGATATTACTGATAAATACTATTTGGACTTTGTTCTATCTTTAATAACTTCAGAGAGGCATAGAGATCTGGAAGAAGGTTCAGAAGGGCAACAAAGATAGTAATAATTTTGTGGCATATTAATCTTTTCAGCCACTGGTTTTATTTATTTTTTTCTTTTAAAAAATAGATGACCAGTTAGGGGATCTTAACCCTTGACTTGGTGTTGTCAGCACCACGCTCTCCCAAGTGAGCCAACCAGCCATCCCTATATAGGGATCTGAACCCGTGGCCTTGGTGTTTTCAGCACCACACTCTCCCAAGTGAGCCATGGGCCTGCCCTTCAGCCACTGTTTAATGAGCACCTAGCACAAATCAGATGGTGAGACCTATGAGGACATTCTGCTTAGCTTAAGTGAGGACTTAGGCTAAATCTTCAGATTTAGCAAGAGAAGGTCTTTAATATAGAGGTTTTATTCATTCCCTTCCTCAGGAAACATTTATTTAGGGCATACTATGTGCTAGATAT